GAGGGCATCAGTAAAGCGCACCAACCACGAACAGTGGGACAAATGATTCATTTTTTGGGGATGACAGATTTTAGTGCAGATTGAAATGATGATTATGCAATCAGAACAACTCCACTTAGAGCACTAAGGAAACAGGTGGGCTATCAAAATCTTAGAGCCCCCTTGATAAGGACTACTGATGCATTAGTAGCATTTGAAAAAAAATAATTGAAAAAAAAACAAACAAAAAAGAGTTACAGAATGATCATGTCTACAAGACAATACTGCAGTAAATAAATATTCTAGAAATGCCTCATTTATATTGCTGTGAAACCGCAATAATGGCTCCCTCTGTTCTGATTTAACCTCAACCACAATTAATGTTGCATGAATGCAACATCAAGCTACACCATATGAAATTAGTGTATGGCAACAAAGGGAAGCAACATGAAATGCAAATGGGCTTTGGCGCTCACACGAAGGTCACATGATTGCTCCTATGCCATTGCTTACAATCCTGATCTCTGATGCGCATGGTTTTGACCATTGCGCGAGGGGGGAAGTGATAAAAAAAAAAAAAAAAAATGTATTAATAAAAATTAATGAATAAATAAAGCGACAAGGTTATTGGCTGCCATATGTATCATATGTATAGGATGAATATCTATTTGAATGTGACGTCTGCACCCTAAATAATGTCAGAAAATGAACATGATGAACATGATGGAAGAGATAAGAATTGACATCAAGAAAAGAAAGACCCCCGTAGCTTATGTAATCGACCGCACATTTTAACCAATCAAAAGGGAAACATAACATGGGAAAATTCAAAAGGAATTGTGCAATAACCTGGCATCTGGACCAAGATATGTATTATGATTTAGGAGTGCTCAAATCATTCAGTCTGATATATGTTACAGCCACTGTAAAGACAAACATGACAATCATAAAGGTTAAAGATAATTGTACAGAAGCAACTATTAGTTTTTCCCAAATTCGTACCATGGAAGACCAATCAGAGGCAGTGGCAGATTACTACTGGGTATGTGCGGGGAAAATATTAAGGGCAACACTACCACAGGACTCGAAAGGAATTTGCACCAGAGCACGATTGTTACAAGGGGTAACAATAATTAATGGGGACTTAAATGAAACTGAACAGCCCCCACCAAAGAGACACAGAGTTAAAAAGCCAATGAAATAGATCCAAATGTGTACATAGATTCAATTGGCCAGCCAAGAGGAATACCAGAGCAATATAAAGCTAGAAATGAAATAAAGTCTGGATTTGAGTCTATATTTGAATGGATAGCCCCAAATAAGAACACAGAGTGGATAAATTATATTTACTACAATCAGCAGCGATTCATTAATTGCATTGATGATCCATTGAAAGCCCTGGGAGAACAATTGGGTCCTACAAGTAAAATGATATGACAAAACAGACAAGCACTGAACTGGCTTTTGTCCGAAAAAGGAGATGTATGTGTAATGTTTGGAACTGACTGTTATACTTATATTTCAAATAGTACAGCCCCAGCTGGATCATTCACCAAAGCTATGGAGGAACTGAAAAACCTGAGAGATGAGATCAATGCTGGCCAGTGCTGCAGCCAAACAGATGATTAACGTGTCAGTGAAGCCAACTGGAATTGACATTGGGTGTACCAACGTGCATACAGTGGGACCTGGACTGGATGAGCTGGATGAATTTGTGTAAAACCTTCCTGAAAAACAACAGAGTGGTAGGGAAGGGGTGCCTTTTATTTTCTATTTTTTATTTTATCCTGTATTGTAACTTTTGATAGAAAGGGAGTTAGTATCTTCATTGTATTTTCTTTTTATATATTATGTAGTAGTATTAGAACACGTGGATAGAGTAGGAAGGAAGTTAGAGGGTGTTATGTATTTTATTTTGGCATATGCTCCTTCCTGAAGTCATTTACTCCTTAAGGCATGTATATTTGAAGTCATTTATTTTTCATTTATTCTGAAATCATTTATTTTAAAGAGCATTTATTCTCCTATATAAATGAAATGTAAAATGTGATTGTTTTTTGGAAAGAAAGGGGACGCTGAAGGTCTTAAGCAGGTCATTGTCCGTGTTACGAGGCAATGCAACCAGAAAAAGGGGACGATAAAGAAAGATTACTTATTTTCATAATTTAACCTTCATTTATCAGTATATAGTTTGTTTGTTCTTTAACACTGGAAAAGTCATCAAAGTATGAAAAGAAGAAAGGAGTATCAGTGGTTTACATTGGATTGTACCAGTGAACTTGAGTAACCCAGTGAACTTTGGGTGATTTCCAGAAGTTGACAGTAACGAGTAAACAGATTTGATGTATGTCTCATGGGACCACCGCCAACCAATGGGAGGCAGCAAAATGAAAGTTTTTAAAAAATGGTTGATTTGGCCAAATTCCACCATTTAAAAGATGGACCAGGTGTGCTAGTAATAAATTGTGGCAAACCAGACAGGCATAACCAATAAAAAACCGGAACTACCAACTTTGGTAAGGGAAAGAGGTATAAATATGGGTGCCTGGACGGACAAAGACTCAGATGCAGCGGCTGTCATCTCGGCTTTGTTGCTGTGCTCAATAAAGTCTTATTTTGACATCTGGAACTCTGCTTCTTGAGCTTTTTTGACAACTTCAAAAAAGACCATTGTTTGTTCCACGACAACTGCTGGTTCGTCTGGTCAGAGGAGAACTGGCACCCCGACTGAGCCTGGTTTCTCCCAAGGTTTTTTCTCCATTCTGTCACCGATGGAGTTTTGGTTCCTTGCCGCTGTCGCCTCTGGCTTGCTTAGTTGGGGACACTTCATTTCCAGCGATACCGTTGACTTGATTGCAAAGATACTATTTAAACTGAGCTGGATGTTGACATCACTGAATTCAATGATGAACTGTCTTTAACTGAAAAATTTGTGTTTACTATTGTCATTTTGCATTATTGACACACTATTTTCCTAATTAATGCTGTTCAGTTGCTTTGACACAATCTGTATTGTTAAAAGCGCTATATAAATAAAGGTGACTTGACTTGACTTGACTTGAATAAACTTCTTTTTCGTAAGGGTATAGAAGACCAAGAGGTGAAACTCTGTAGAATGTTCCATTGCAACAGCGGCGCCCAGCAGCAGCCCTGCGCTTCCACCATTTTGGCAGTCCACTAGATAGCTGCCGCTATGGCAAATATCAGCTGCTTTGTTTAAAAAAACCGTACATTAAAGCTGAAATACAGCCTGAACGATGACAATAATATCGTACAATCACTAGACTAGTGATCATCAAATCCCTCTTAACAGTTAATTTTACAGATTTTATTTTAAGTTCAAGTGTTATCATTATTAACACTGAATTAATACCAACATATGAAATTAAATGAATGACAGAAAAATTAGGAATGTTGGACAATAAATATATAACAGGAATAGCTTGACAGACTGTTTTTGCAGTATTGTCTTATATTAATGTCTGTTAAAGGAAGACTGTAAAAAATAACTTTTTTATGTAAAAAAAAAAAAAAACCCACACGTACAGCCACTTTCTCCAAAATTGTTTAATTATTTAATTATGACCGAGACACAGCAACGCATAATCTAATCTAGATCATCATGTCTGTAGTGTGTTCCAGGGGATTAAAACGTACAATATATATTTCAGACCTAGTGGAGTAATAGTAAATAATAGTATAGTAATTGTAAATGTGTAAGTTGCATAAGCACATTACTTAGCCATATAAATCATTATTATGCTTTCTATGGCTAGGACCTGCAGTTCCTACAAGGATTTAAGTTTACTACTAGACTAAAAACAGTTAAAGTTAGCAGGTGCATAAGACGTCCCACTTCAAAACATACAATATTTTTACACTTTTGTGAATAATTACCTGTCAGGGTCTTTGGGAAAACGATGAAAGGCAAGATTTTTATTGTCACACTGATCGTTTTTGCAGTGGTTTGCCCAACATTGCGTTCTTTTATTCCACTTTGACCTCTCTTTCGTTGTTATTCTGTCTAATTCTGTGTATCTGTGCTGTTGTCCAGTTGGAATTTTCACCCCAAAATGGCAGCCACGCAACCGAAGCGTCACCTAGTGGCTGTTACCCAAAAAGCATCAGAGTTTCGCCTCTTGGTCTATCCTCTTTGGAACTGTTTATAATCAAACTGGATGTGAAGCACTATTCTCCAGACGAACTGATGGTCAAGATCAATGATGATTTTATTGAGATTCATGGGAAACATGATGAACGGCAGGTAACAAAACATAAAGTCACCTTCATTTTATTCACCGTCCATTAAATAGTGTTTTTTGTAATATTGTACTATAGATAACATATTAAAATAGAATGCAGCTTTCAGTTTAACTGAATTGGCCACGCCCGCAGGAAGTTGAGTTGGAATGACAGTAAGTCTGTAAAAGCCTTTAAAAACCTTCAAATATCAAGACTTTCGAACTTTCTAGTAAAAATTCCATTTTGAATTTGACATCATTCTTTTTTTTCTCTCTTGTTCAAGGTTTCATTTTACGTAAACACATTTTAAATTCGTAGAATTTCAGTTCTAGTTTCTGTTTTCTACCTCAGTTCAAATTGAAATAAAATTCAAGAAAACATTATCAACTGAATTCTAAATGGTGCATAACACTGATAGACATTGTGTTATGATTGCTATACCTCAGTTCGAAGAAACAGAATCTGTGTCTCTTACAGGACGAGCATGGCACTGTGGCAAGGGAGTTTTACAGGAAGTACAAGATCCCTGACGATGTAGATGTAGATCCAGGTGCCATCACTGCTTCTCTGTCCTCTGATGGTGTGCTGACCATCTGCACACCACGCCACCCCTTACGAAAATTAACCATGGTTTTACAATAGTAAAACTGTAGTAAACCATGACTGTAGTAACCAGTTTGGTGTGAACCATGGTTTTAAAAACCATGGTTCAAGTACCACAAATTAACTATGGTTGTATTACCATAGTTTAATCATGGTTTTATTATGGTTGTATTACCATAGTTTAACCATGGTTTTACTAAAGTACCTCAAATTACATTTAAGCCTAGTTCCCCTTCAGGAACTCGAGCTGCTTCGAAACGCTACGGGAACGCCTCCAGCGTGACCACGCTCTGAATCAGCCAGCGCTTGCTTCACTCCTGAAGCTGGCGCCGGTTTCACCGCACGTGCTTTTATATTTCCTGGTCGCTACGTCACCCCGCCCGTGACGTCTCGCCCATCCATTGGACTGATTACACATGTGATTCAGAGCGTGGTCACGCTGGAGGCGTTCCTGTAGCGTTTCGACGCAGCGTCTCGTTCCCTTCGGGGAACCATGGTTACATACGTAACCTGGAGACGTTATTCAACAAACATCTACAAAATAAATACAGAATGACAAGTTACTATTCTGTGATACAGGCTTTATTACAGCAGTTACATCATCTGAAAAAAATATATGAACTGTTGCAGTTGTTCTCACATGACAAAATGATTCAGAACTATGAACTACAACTTTATAAAAAAAAATGGTGATAAAGCACTGCAGTGGTAAAGATGGTTTTCTGCTCATTTACAAAATAAAAATGGCTAATTGTTACACTGTAATAATGCATTATCTCTATAGAAATGAATTACATGTTGTACAAATAAACATGACTTAGTGCACATACACAGCATTATACCGCCTACCTCCTTTACAATATCTTATAGGGCTGCCTGCAACTAACAATTTTTTTGATAATCAATTTATCTGTAGATTATTTTTGTATTAACTGGATGACAAAAATAAAAAAAATAAAAAAATACATAATTTTAATCCATTATTTTAAACAATGTCATTTCACATCGTGCCTATGAAAACAAATATAATGAATGTATCTAGGCTCTGCTGTACATTATAAGCATTAAAGTGTTAAAATACAAACATTACATTCTAAACCTAAAAACAACAGATTGCTTGCTGTTTTAAAACAGAATTTAAAACAATTTAAACAAAAACACAATGTTAACTTGTACGAGTTACGAGGAACAAACACAATCATTCGTCTGAACAGAGTAATTATATTATATTAATGGACAATTCCAACAATAGTGCCTTTACTGTTACTGCTCTCATAAATATGATTACTTGTGTTACATGTAGGGTTTTAAACCTACTCTTAATTTTTCTAACAAAAAATATTTTAGCAAAATGTGTATTTTCATCAGAATTATGAGCGGTCTGTTTGTTTTGATGCACTAATCAAATTCGTTGACGATTATTTTCATTATCGATTAGTTGTTGCAGGCCTAGTTTTATACAACCTGTAAACACAAGCCCAACACAGGCAGATGTGTGCAGTCCATAGGGTGCATCAAGGTCGCATTAACAACCTTGATTACAATATCAATAAAGGTAAAAAAGGTTTTTATTGGAAAAGTTTTACACATACTACAAAATACATTCACAAGAAATGAGAAGTACTTTTAAGAATGTTTAAAATGATATCAACTCACATGAGATGAAGATTTCAGTCATTTCAGGCCTAAAGCAAGCTGATTTATTCTAGATCGAGTCACCTCATGGGGACCGATGAAGGCTAGATGAATCCTCCACTCTTTTACTTGGTGAAGGAAATGCTCCTCTTTTCAAAAACTTTTGATGCTGCATACATGGCAGTTGTCAGTCTATCATATAGTCCAGTAGGTTACAGTCCAACTTTGGTTTGGCTGTCTTGATCTTCACCCCATATGGTCTCAGGACCTAACAATGAGAAGAATATATACACAATATTAATAAACAGCTTACTGGAATACGGTCCTGAGAGAATACTGGCAGAGATGCGTAGGAAATACTGGATTCTTCGGGGTAGGGAAGCAATCCGACGTTATCAGAACAAAGATTGTCCAGTATGTCAGAAGTTTCGCAAAAACCCACAGATACCCAGGATGGCAGACCTGCCTCCTGCCAGACTACGTCTATTTAAACCTGCCTTCTATTCTACTGGCATTGACTGTTTCGGGCCATATTTTGTAAAGATTGGACATAGAAGTGAGAAGCGCTGGGGTATTCTGTTCAAGTGCATGACTACACGTGCTGTGTATATTGATCTTCTCCCGAGACTCGATACAGACTCCTTCCTTATGGCCCTCAGACGTTTTATAGCCAGACGTGGGAAACCTTTTGAGGTTTTATGTGATCAAGGTACTAATTTTAAAGTAGGGGAAAAGGAGCTGCATGAGACATATGCTGAACTAGTTCCAGAGCTGCAGGAACAACTTGCCAGTCAGCAGATTATCTTTCGTTTCAACCCGCCTCATGCCCCACATTTCGGTGGGTGTTGGGAAAGGGAAATTCGTTCCCTGAAACAAGCTCTACAGGTCACTCTGGGAACTCAACCGATACCAGAGGAAACTCTTCAAACTGTGCTAATCGAGATTGAAGGGATCCTAAATTCTAAACCCCTGGGGTATACATCCTCCAATGCCTCTGATCCAGATCCTATTACTCCTAATTCGCTCCTTATGGGGCGGCCTGATTCGTCCCTTCCTCAAGTGATGTACCCCCAAAGTGAACTATTGAGTCGACGTCGTTGGCGGCATAGCCAAATCATAGCAGATCACTTTTGGAAGCGGTTTATCAAATTCTATTTGCCTGGTCTTCAGACTCGCAGCAAGTGGCAGCGAGAGTCACCCAATATCAAGGTGGGAACTACGGTTATGATTGTGGACCCTCATTTTCCCAGGGCCCTATGGCTCATTGGTCAGAGCTCTCAAGTATTCCCTGGGTTGGACAATA